AGAGAACGAGGGAGCAGGGCCAGACAAAGCATCAGACAAAGTTGCCGCCGGACCGAAACACACTTTCACTTCCCAGAAACAGACTTTCTAATTAATATGCATTAGGCGTGATAAAAAAAGCGAAATGACCATGTCAGGAGTAATTGGAAACAAAGTGCAGTTATTAGACTATAATTAATTTTGTTCATTTGCCCAGCAGACTGCCTCGGCGCTAGACTGTCCTCTGTTTGCCCGGCATCAGTGACTAGCTTCATTTGGCACAATGTCCACCAGCTGAGTGTCCGGCCTTTCTCCGGACGTCTGGGCACACAATTTGCACCTACTCTCTGCCCTCTATTGTGTGTGTGTTCGATTTAAATTAAACTGACAGGGTGCAAACATAAACAAAAGGGGTACGAAAACGAAAAGAGGTGCACTTGAATGGCTTACCTTGATCGTCTTGTTCTGCAACCGTAGCCCATTGAGAGTGTTGATTGCTTTATCTGCATCGTCGGCTCGCAAGTAGTTGACAAATCCATAACCAAGCGATTGGCCTAGAGGGAGAACGGGGAAAAGAGAGAAAGAGAAAAACACGTCAAATTGCGATTATAAATCAGGCGATTGAAAGGCGAGCGAGTGCATGCTACCACGATGGTACCAACATCGGCGGCGGTGGCAATAGCAATTGCAATTGCATTGGCACGACCACAGCTACGACACACGAAGTCACAGCAGTCAGTCTGCACACTACATCACAGCCTGCTCACCCCCCCCCCCCNACTAATAAACTACACAGACACACACAATTTCGGTGAGACATCCTCAACAGCACTGGCTGGCAATACAAATGGACCACTCAGAACGGGTGACAGCAGTGGCTGGTCTGCTGGGACCAGGCGCAGCAGCGGCACCCGAAACTAGTGCCAACTAATAACGAGACGGCGGCAACGGCAAAGGCAACGTCGAATTAAGCAGACGAACTTATTCATAAGGCTTACTGAGGAGAGTGAGAAAGAAAAAGGGAGAGAAAGAGAGTGCTGCTAGCGGCCGACTCACTGGGGAAATGATGGACTACAGCGCCAGCAAGGGGAAATGATTCCAAGGCTGCTGCTGCTGACTGCAATTGGTGAGACAGAGGAAAACAAATACACAAATAATACCACGAAAAAGAAAAGAGAAAAGAAGACACAGCTATTCTTTCTGTCGCTCTAATCCAAATGGAAGACATGCTCGGCTGGCGAGAAATGCATTCAGACGTGATGGTATACAGTTGCTACAAATAAACTGCAAAAAGCGGCTTCCTGAGCACAACTGTCCTCCTCCCCTCCCCTCTTATGTACCCAATTCCGGGAAATCAGCAAGCACTCGTTCTGCTCTTAGACGCACACTATTTTTCTTCACCATAACACTCACCGGTAACTTTGTCGCGAATTAATTTGCAGGACTCGACGTCGCCGATGGAGGCGAAGAGGCTACGAATCTCCTCCTGGCTCATCGTCTGCGGCAGGTAGTTGACGATGAGGTTGGTCTTGCTGTCCGAGTCGAGCGACTGTACGGAGGAGTTGCTGTGCAGACTGCCATTGTGGTTGTTGCCCACCGGCGAGGACGGGTGGTTGTTGTTGTTGTTGTTGTTGTGCTCATGGTGGTTGTTGTTGTTGTTGTGGTGGTTGTGGTTGTGGTGGTGGCTGTGCAGGCCGTTCATGATTAGGCTGCCCTCGAGCTGACCGAGCTGGAAGTGCTGCTGAAGGTGGTGGTGCTGGTGCTGGTGCTGATGCTCAAAGTCTTCCGCAGGCGAGGAGCACAGCGGAGAGACGTCAGAGACCGCGGGAGCCGTGGCGGTAGGCAGTTTGAACAGTGGACTAGAAGTGGGGGGCCAGTTGGCCGACAGTGAATACTGCAAGGAGGAGGGGGAGAAAGAAGGCGAAATGGAGGAGAAGAAAGGCTCAGGAGCTTCAATGGAAGAAGCTGACGACGGAAGATGAAAATGATGCTGATGATGATGATGATGAGAAAGAGGAGGAGGAGGAGGAGAAGGATGACTGATTGGCGAACTGCGATTGATCACTGGTAATGGTAATGGTAATGGTAATGCTGCTGCCGATGCTGATGCTCGTACTGGATCACTGCCGCTGCTGAACTGAGCGGCGCTGACTAGAGCGGTCGATAGTTGAACTGCCGATGGTAAATGCTTCAGTGTGAACTCGGCTGAGGAAGAGAAAAAAATAGATTGTGGCTGAGTTAGTCTGATAACTAGACAAAAGGGTAGTGTTTGGAGGAAAGAGAGGGAAGACAGGAAAAAAGAGGAAACACTGAATCAAGTTAGTGCCTGCCAACGGTGAAAAAGAAAAAGAAGAAGAAAAACTACTCAACTGAAAAATAAGGCCTATTGCTTCAACTGCTGCTGCTTCTGCTGCTTTTGCTGTTGTTGCTGCGACTACTACTGGCAATTAGGTTTGCACACTGTGCACCGTAGTTTACAGAGTAGTCGAGTCAAAGTCAGCAGTGAGAAAGGCAATTACAAAAAAAAATTAAAAGCTTGCGCTCTGTTTGCCACTGAAGCGACAGAGTGAGCTGGCGGTTAGAAAAGTGGTCGCCTCCTAGCCGAGGCCAAGGCATCAATCAGAAAAGTGCGGCCAACTAAGGAGAAGGAGGTGATGGTGGTGNTTAAAAGCTTGCGCTCTGTTTGCCACTGAAGCGTCAGAGTGAGCTGGAGGTTGGAAAAGTGGTCGCCTCCTAGCCGAGGCCAAGGCATCAATCAGAAAAGTGCGGCCAACTAAGGAGAAGGAGGTGATGGTGGTGGTGGAATGGGGATGCTTTTCTCAGCTTGGGATGTGGAGGCTACACTACTGCTGCTGATGCTGAGACATTGAAGCAAATTGACTCAATTACGGTACAATGAGACCGAATGGAAAATCGATAACTGAAAGCGAGAGTTGATAGCAGCAGCCAAAAGGAGCTACAAAAGCGGCCGCAGCAACAGCAGAAGCAGGCCGAGAGGAAATAAAAGGAGGCAAAGGCACCAAATTTCGATTTGCAAATGTGGGGAAATGTAATTTATGTGCTGCCGTGAGTCGGTTCGGGGTGTGTGTGTGTGCATTGTGGAGATGGCAGTGTTAGTGAGCGAGGCCTATTTGGCCCTTCCACTAACTAACTGCTGCCTGCCTGATTCTCTCGCTCTCCTTTTCCTCTCGTTCAGTGCTGCACCAAGACTGAGAAAAGTACCGTTTAATGGAAATGGTAAAAGATCAATGCCACTTTGGAGCACAGGGCAACAGCAGAAACAGCAGCCTAGGCTAACAAGCCACCAGTAAGGGAAAGCCGACAGAGTGAAAGACAGCAGCACTAGTGTGCTCACTCGGAAATTAAAGCGATGCTGTGTCAGTCCCTCTCTGTCAGTGCTGAAGCAATAAGCCTAGCTGTTTTCAGCAGTGCACTGTTCAGCTGCTGCTGCTCTACTGAGGGCAATGGGAGACAAAGGGAGGGGGGAAAACCCCATCAAAGTGGGGGAGGAAAGTCAGTGAAAGTGCACACCGGCACAACGCCAAATGTCGCTCTTGGTCGATGGGGAAAAAGTGAGGAGGGTCGTCAGCTAGCGAGCGCGTGCAACGTGATCGGTGAGCAGCTGTCGCAGCGCGTGCATCACCGCTGATCCGCAGCGGTACTCTCTCTCTCTCTCTCTCTCTCTCTCTCTCTCTCTCTCTCTCTCTCTCGTGAACAGATCGCACTCGTGCGCCAGTGGGCCCGATCGATGCTGACAGGGCACTAGCACTGCAGCACTGCAGTAGTGCACTACCGTCGGTGATGCATCAACCACCACCGCTGCGACCACTGACAATGAGCGAGAAACGCAAATTGCTAAAAGGCACGTGAGCGCTCTGCTGCTCTCAGTCCTTGTCGACACTGAATCAATTTGATTGTGCAGGCCAGGATNACCGCTGCGACCACTGACAATGAGCGAGAAACGCAAATTGCTAAAAGGCACGTGAGCGCTCTGCAGCTCTCAGTCCTCGTCGACACTGAATCAATTTGATTGTGCAGGCCAGGATTGGGTCGGTCTGTTGGCACACACACACACACACACGAGCTGACGGTGGGCGATGAGGTCGAGCGCTTGCGCGGCGACGCGATTCAATCATTAGCTGATAGCGAAATGGTAATGAATCGGCGACGGTCGCCGACAGACTGACGCTGTAGACTGACTGACTGCGCACACTGATCACGGGAGACAGGCTGGCAGTGAAAGCGATGAGGGCTACATAAATCAAGCAGACTGATGTGGCCACTGGCAAGTGAGAACATTACCAGATGTACCATTTGTCCAGTATCGGAAAGAGGACGGCAAGACGAGGACAGCGACAAACTGACTACTAACCAGCACCAGCAACAGCAACAGCAGCACCGTCTCTGGCTGTCCCATTGACCAGAGACCACCGTTATTAGTGTCCTGTGTGCTCACCAAAGAAGGAGGCTAGGGAAATGGAACCGCTGCTGTTGCTGAGCGGTCTTAAGCTCAATGCTGAATAATAAATTGTGCAATGATAAATTTTTCAGTATTTCACTTCCAGCAGCACTTCCACTTTCACTCTAGCATCGACTGAGTACACACAGCTAAGTTGACTCAGTTCACTTGACCTTAGTGTGCTCGGAGTGCTCTGAGCTTTCTGGCTGTGTGTGTGCTGGCAAACACAATTAAACAGACGGCTGAGCCAGAGAGGACCGCAGGCAAAACTGAGAGCACGGCAAGCTGGCAAGTTGGTTGGCTGCTTGCTTGCTTGGCAGACAGTCAGGCAGGCAGGCACCAGCAAACCGGCGTCAGGGGAGCACTCTCCGAATCAATGGCAATTAATGAAAATGGATGCAGTGCCTGACTGCACAGCAGAGACAGAGGCAGCAAAAGCAGTGGCAGAAACGAGCAGAAAAGTAGAATGGAAAAGTGCAGTTCTTCTGTCACACACACATATCCTCGATTCGTGCCTTCCGCTTTGGAAACAGTGTCTCCAGCTAGCAGACTAGTGTGTCGGTGTTTTTGTCGTTAAGAGTGTACGGCCGTTTTTGGTGGAAAGAAACAAAAATACGAGACCACTAAGCAACAGAAAGCAGTAAGCATGGTCATCTGGACACTCAAACACACACTGACATAAATCACGTGAGAAAATAATTAAAAGGGAACGGACCAGTAGAGAAGGAAGACGAGTGGGAGTACGGCAAGGCCATTGAAGAAAGGAAGAAGAAGAGGAAGAAAAACGGCTGAACCAATTAATGAACTCTAATTACGAGGTTGGCTGGTTAGAAGNGCACACACTGACATAAATCACGTGAGAAAATAATTAAAAGGGAACGGACCAGTAGAGAAAGAAGACGAGTGGGAGTACGGCAAGGCCATTGAAGAAAGGAAGAAGAAGAGGAAGAAAAACGGCTGAACCAATTAATGAACTCTAATTGCGAGGTTGGCTGGTTAGAAGAAGAAGAAGAAGAGAGTGCAGAGGAGATACACAGTACAAAGACAGAGAGAGACAGAGGCTATNGAAGAAGAAGAAGAAAAGAGTGCAGAGGAGATACACAGTACAAAGACAGAGAGAGACAGAGGCTATAATTAGGACACTATACGGTACGGCAGGGTAGAGAGTGGTTTGGTTGGGTAAAGCAAATAGCTAGTGCAAATAGCTTGTAGACCACCACCACCACCGCCACCAAATAGTGCTGCCGCCAACACGGCGGAGAATGGCCGATTAATTGGACATAAATTCCAATAGAAAGTGGAAACAAGAAGAAGAAGATTTTACGGCGTCCAGGGCGTCAGCACACAACATAGTATGTAGCCTTGTCGAACATTTCAAACCATAGAGTGGGCAATATTTACAAAATATAAAATACACAAGGGGAGGCGACGTTAACAGAAAGAGAAAGAGGGCAAAAGTGGTGCTCCTGCTGCTGCTGTTGCCGATCGTTGAGTGGCACTGAGCTGACCACAAACAGCCAAAGTAATGAATGGATGGGTGTGAGTATTGGTGCAATTCAGAACGGGATTCTCAACTGGAGAATCCCAACCGAAGAAGAACATCGACTGCAACTGTTCAGCATTGCGGAGCAGGTTTTCCCGACGCCAACGAGCAGCAGCAGCAGCAGTGAGAGCGGGAATGGGCGCCAACCACGACCAGGCAAAACGCTCTCCTCCTCTCTTCTGCTCATGAATTGGCTAGAAATCGACGAGTGCCGCAGTGCTGTGTTGCAGTTGTGGTAGAAGAGTCTGTTTGGCGGCTAAGATGGCGCCAATGGCCGAATTAAACGGAGAGAAAGAGAGAAAAAGTGAGCCACTGTGGTAAGGCACAGTGGCTCTGTAGCAGTAGAGAATAAACGCTCCAGAATGGAGGCATTGAAGGCAAACGTAAACATTGCCATGCAGAATTGCAGAACTACGCTGCACAAACACACACACTAGTTATTCTTTTTCTTTTTTTCGACTACTACTACCGTAATGCCTACGACTGATGAGTTCCCNAAAACGTAAACATTGCCTTGCAGAATTGCAGAACTACGCTGCACAAACAC